ATGACATTAAACAACATGATAGGCAACTCTGACGTCACTCCATAAGACTACAGGCGAAACATTGTATTTCATGATACGCTCCAATGCACATATTTCTCGTCGCCTTTCGCGTCCGTTTTCCGCTCGCTTTTGCTACTCGGCGTCTTTTTTACGTGTAGTACCTGCTTTTTGCGCCTGTAACGAAACAAAATAATCTCTATATCTAAGACATTTTGCTTACTTGGAAAGCTGGAATAACAGGCAAGCTGTAAAGAGCAATTCTGGACATCATAGACGTTTTTTTTTTTATCAGAGAAGATTACAAACGCGATAGCGGAAAGATTTGTGTGGAACATTTTGCAGATAATGACAAAGTTCAAAGTTAGTAATTTTAATGTTTGCGCCTAATCATTGAAATTTCATTTAAAGAGGGTGTCATACAAAACTGTGCTGCGATACAATTCCATAACACAAAGTTTGCACCTATCGAACTTGCTTTTGTAGGTGAATTTATTAGACATATTACATATTCAGTTAATCGTAGGTAACATTGCTGGTACATAATGCATCATAGAGGTTTGTTTAAATTAAGGAATTTAGCTCATAGCCCACTAATTAATATTATCTTCTATGCAGGAGGTTGCAGGGCTGAATTCAACTTGCAGCCTTACCGATCTCCTGACGATGCTCATTTAGTTTGGCTCGAGCAAGTCTCCTTGAAATGCTTGTGTGGATGGAAACTACCTATATTTTTCGCCTTCCTCCGATTTTAGACAAATTTATTCTGAGGGATTTCGCATATAATTCTCACTGATTGTTGGCTGTTTATAATTCCTATTGATTGTGAAGTCTGATTATAACAATGAGTTGAAAATTTTTTTACCTAATTTACTGGCACCTTTTTCTTGTCAATACTCCAAGCTGAGGTAATAAACATGACAATACATTTATGTCATCTGGAAGCAAAATATGCACACTAATTAATAGTTTGGCACATTGAGATAATACATCATGATAGAAAATACAAGTTAAAGATATGTATGACCATCACATGGTAATTAAAATTAAAAAAAAATATATAGGGGCTGTGGAGTATGGAAAGTTCAAGACAAAGAAAAAGACAAATGTTCATAGCTCATGAACTCTCAATTTTGCCTCCATTGCTTTGTGAAGGCCAATATATTTCGAGTGGCTGAATTGGTTTACCTTTATGATAGCAACGATTTTGTATTTAATATAGCGAGATTATTTCAATTTAATTGAAGTGATATAATCTCCCAAAGCAATGCTTGAATCGTCTAGAATAGATCAGTGGTGTCAAACTCATGGGTTTTCGAGAGCCGCATTGCATTTTGAAAATTGTAAAAAGAGCCGCAAACAGTTTTTGATAATGTATACTTAAAAGATATTTTTAAGATAGTTTTAGTTTGTGACATATATTGTGATGCAACTAAACAGTTGGATTAAGTTTTATTATTTTCTTCAATTTCAAATGCAATTACATATTAATATTTGCATTCCACTATTATTGCAACATTTGCAAGTTACAGTATTTATTATAAAAAATCGTAAAATTCTATGTACAACCATCAAAATCATTTTTGAACAAGCTTTGAATAAGGAAAGAATAATACATACACTAAAAATAACTTAATCTAAATATATGAACCTAAAATTAACAAAAATACTACAGTATGAACTCAATGTTTTAATAATTACATTTGTCCTGGCGTTTGGCATCTTTTTTGTGTCACCAGCATACTAAGGCCAGTCTGAAATGATTTTATAGTACCAACTCTAACTAACGAGGCCACATGATCATGGGTTTATCTGGATCTTTACGAATGTTTAATTAATTCCAGTATGCAAAAAAGTTACTTTTATCATTTCATGTATAGATCAGTAAAAAAACAAATGACAGATTTTTTCGACAAGACATTTCGCACTACATTGCGTGGCATAGGATTGCTTGAATTATTATTGATATTGATTTTTAGTAACTAAGTCGTTGTATAATTATATTAATATACAAACACATGGAAATTTTCTGTTCGAAGTTGGTCTTCGAATTTGTCATATTGACTGCTGAGCTTATTGTGTTTTTTGATTGTATTGATGGAAATATGACAAATTAAACAATGTGCTTCAGAATTTTGTGAAGAGCAGAAATGTTACAACTCCCATTTTCTTCGAAAATGCCACCTTCTTCATGTACTTTGCGTTTAATTTAATTACTCAAGTGTTTTATTCAAGTATTCTTTTGCTAGCTTGATGTGTATTCTTAATTGGGTCAAAATGTGGACAAAAAAAATCAATATTCCAAAACTACTTTCAGTAAATTGTTTTTGTGTGTGAATAATCAATTTCACTTTAGAAGGTTTGAAAAATCTATTACATTTAGATAAAAAAAAAACTTCCAAAATACTATTACAATTATTGTTAATCGAGGGCCGCACTGGAAGTTCTCTGGGGCCGCGAGTTTGAGATCCCTGGTCTAGATTGAAGTTGTTCGAAAAATATATGATAGTATTTTATCATGAATGATGATTATACCCCTTCCGGAATTTCTTCTATAGTACTACCAAAAGTTGATGAACCAAATATAACACAGGTGCAGTGAGGTACCCGTAATCCTCATTTCCAAAGCTGTTTTAAGTATGTCTGGCGTGTTTTGTGCCTTTTTACAAATAAGACCGCTCAAGCAATCTTACGCTTTGGAATTTTTAGTTATTTTCCTCAAGCCCTGCAGGATGTGGGGGCCATACACAACTCTACCGGAGGGTCAAATGTCTTTGCATGCCTCCATAGGTTGTTTTTCTATTGCAAATTTCTATTTTCAATTGCATTATATTTCTTGGAATCACACTGTCACTGATATGTCGCCAGACTTCTGATATCTCCCCGTCTGCTATAGTTGTCCTGTGAATAAATAATAGGAAATTGAGATTAGACGAATAGTTGAAAGTTTTGCTTTATGTCGGCTTAATTTCTTGATTGATATACTTACTATTTCTGCTATTGCCTCTTGTGCTGCAAGAGTCTCACAATGCTTAGACAGGTTTGTCCACAACTTTCACATCTGAAGAAAGAGAGGAGATTTATTAATTTTCGTTAAGAATAAATAAAGCAGTCTATATGATTCAGAATGGAAAAGCTAATAAATCCAATATCTCATGTTTTATTTAAAAAATATTTTACTGAATTTGGTATATAAACCAACTAATAAAAGGGTTTAGTCAGAAAATTACAAGCATTCGTGGCTCCAAATACTTGAGAAATCAGACGATACAATATAGACCGGTATGAGTGAAATGTTAGGTGAACTTGTTAACACTTTGATTCAATACGCAAATAAAAGTGAATGCGTAATAGTATGTTACAATGAGCAGCAATCAACAATGAGTATATATCCTCACTGATTAAAAAAATCTAACTGGAGGTGCATGAACTATTTGAAACCATAACGGGTAAGTAAATATGTAATTTCGGCAAATGGGCAACTACGTACCGTACTGAATTAATAACTTCGTAGTATTTGACAAAGGCTGGCTTTCCCACATGTACTTAACAGTGCGATGCCCGGGTGTGATATACAACAATAGTATTCACCTTACCTTTTACCGATTTCTTTTTACCCCAACTTTCAAAAATATCATTAAAATCGACAACAACTGTCAAAGCAGGCACGAACACCATTCGTGCTACGCCTTGAAAGCAGCACACATCCGCTCGTTTTCGTCTCGTCAAGTATGTGCATTGGAGCGTGCTATCGAATACGATCTTCGGACAAAAATGCCGGAGTTGCGCATCATGTTGTTTAATGTCATTGATTGCATTGACAAAAATATTTGTCGGCCCATTTCAGCTCAGATTGGGTCATAACTGGCCCGCCATCAAAACAGTTTGATGACCCCTGACCTAGATCAATCAACACATATTGGCTTATTACAGTGTGATATATTATTACATACAGTGCACAATTGACCAGTAAATGAACCAAACAACACAAATAAATAAAGTCCAATCTCGGCGATCTTATGACATGTGTGCCTGGTATGACATTCGGTTATATTAGGGACAGATTTTTTTAGGAATTTATTTTCTTGCAGAATTTGCTGCTGGGAATTGGTGGCCGTTCCTTAGTGACCTAATTCGCAAGACGAACGAAAACAGGCCCATCTCAATTCGTTCGTGGACAATAGTAGGCGAGGGCGATCTCAAAAACTGGACTGGTCCACAGGACGTTTCTCCGACCCTTGACCCCAGAAAAATTCTTCCTATACTTTACTATTGCAAAAAAATTATACTTACAGTATTTCGTGATTGTTTTAATGTGTTGGCGCTTATGAGCTGGTTTACGTGTTTGAAAACCCTCATTTTTATTAAAATTAATCAACCAGGTTCCGCTTACAGGCACTGATAGTTTAGATTAGTCTATCGCATCATTTGCGAGACTCATTTTTGATTACAGCAACTAAATTAATGCTCCTTTGAAGCCATACGGTACCGGTACCGTACTTCTGGTTGGCGTATATCAATCCTAACTCTTACCTGCAGACCTGACTGCGTCATTCATCAATTATGTTATTGCGATGTGACAGTGACATAATAAGGCGCTTCGACCTATACGAACTGTCATTCAAGACGTGCAGACGATTACTCGAATTCGAGCAAGCTATTTCTCTTGTTTTTTTATGCAACAATCCCGATATGAGAAAAATTGCTGCCGCTAGTGAGTTCTTTTTTGTCGGCATATATCTGTATATGCCATTTCGGGCGATCGAAATATACTTTGGCAAGCTCTATGACGTCCTAGTGACGTACCTTTTTGATGGCAAAGTCAGGTGGTGGTTAGAATTGACATATGCAAAATTCCATTTGCTACCCCTGTACCCCCATTAGAAGTACTGAAGTACGGTACTTTAGGTAAAAAACTACACTAGACCCGAATATTTTTTTACAAAAATTGTAATGAACAATGTCTAATGCTATTTTTACAAAACCTGAAAGCCCCACCAGCTAACTTGGGAAACATTTGTGTTTTTGTATTTCAGTGATACTTTGATAGGGATAGGCTAGCTGTAACACAGCTATGTGGCTGCATCTAGCTCTTCCAGTGAAAAGAGAAATACATAATAGTACTTCAGCACTTGCTGACTTTGGAGTACAGGAGTAGGGTGTTCAGAATACTATTATAATCTGGTGTTGTGTCAATCTTCCTTTTGAAATCCACAAAGTATCTCACAAAATGTCAAAGTTAGAAAGAAAATGCAATCCCAACTTGACAAATTCACCAACTTTAATCGTGATGGTTGGATTGCCTGCCCGAGGGAAAACCTACATAAGTAGAAAATTAGCAAGATATTTGAACTGGATCGGTCTTCAAACTAAAGTTTTTAATCTTGGCGAATATCGTCGTAGATCTATCGCCGTGTTCAAATCTCATGATTTTTTTCATCCTGGTAATGAAGATGCACAAAAGCAACGACGAGAATGTGTTTACAAAGCCTTCAAAGATGTAAAAATTTGGATCGAAAATGGAGGTGATATTGCTGTGTTTGATGCGACGAATTCAACCCGCGAAAGAAGAAGTTTAATCATCAACTTCTGCAAAAATGAAGGCTTCAAGTTGTTTTTTATTGAAATTATATGCGATAGTGCTGAGATGGTAGAACGCAACATCACTGAAGTAAAAATAAATGGGCCGGATTACAAAGGAGTAGATCCTGATAAGGCAAGGAAAGATTTCACCACAAGAATTGAGAATTACAAAAAAGCTTATCAAAAACTTGATCTGGTTCATGACAAGCATTTATCATTTATTCAAGTTTTCGACGTCGGACAGAGGTTTATAGTCAACAAGGTTCTTGACCATACTCAAGGTCGAATTATTTATTACATAATGAATACTCACCTGACTCCAAGGTCAATTTACATATGTCGACACGGAGAAAGTGAAATGAACCTAACAGGTCAGATAGGTGGCGATGCACACCTATCAGAGAACGGAAAAGAATTTGCCAAAAATTTAAGTAAATTCATTGAAGATCAGAAAATAAAGGGACTGAAAGTATGGACAAGTCAATTAAAACGTACAATCGAAACGGCCGAGCATTTATCTGTCGATATTGAACACTGGAAAGCTCTTAATGAAATTTTCGCTGGAATTTGTGAAGAAATGACCTACAAAGAAATCCAAGAAAATTATCCTGATGAATTTGCTCTGAGAGACCAAGATAAATTTTTCTACCGCTATCCGATGGGAGAGTCATATTACGACCTTGTACAACGACTTGAACCAGTGATAATGGAATTAGAAAGATCAGAAAACGTTCTTGTCATCTGTCATCAAGCAGTCATGAGATGTTTACTTGCTTATTTCCTCGACAAAAACTACGATGAGCTACCATATATCAAATGCAAGCTTCATACTGTTCTGAAACTTACTCCGATTGCGTATGGTTGTGATGTGGAGTCTTTTGATCTTGGAAGTAAGAAAGCAATGTTTGTTCTTTCATTTATTTGTCCAAATATTATCAACTACTTTGTTGAAAGTTCTGACTTTTACGTTCACCAAACCAAAGTACCATATGTGTCCTCTAACCTTAGTATTAATAAAAGCATGAATAATCTGTTTGAATGATTTGAATAATCTCTCTTAGTCTCTATTAAGTAAAACAACTATCACTTCATCCATTTCTAAAATTTCTTAAAATTACAAATCAGTAATGAGTTTGAGTTGTTTATCTTCGTTTATCTTATTTTCAAGTTTAAATCCTTTGAATATTATTTGATTTTATTTGATCTCCTGGGACCTATCTATTATTTATAGAATAAATAAATAATATTTATCACCTATGTCATCGCAATCTGGAAACAACTACAACAAAGTGAGACTGCAGTGGGGCAGTTGTATGCGGCAATGATAGGTTAACTTGTTACATTTTTATTTGAAGGCAACATGGCAGTTGACACGCATCGGGCAAAACCAGAAACTACTTCTACTGATCGTACAGAAGATGAAGCATTACGAACCGTCCCATCCTTCCCGAAACAGAATGAACGTTTTGTCAATGGTGTCTCTGATGACTCTGGACAGGAAATATTGAAAGAAGTCAGTTTTCCTGGCTCAAACACTAAATTCCTTATCCCTTATCGACCACCAAGGTTGAGAAAACGACATAATTCTGAATCTGGATTGCCAGGGTGAGAATGCTTTTCATTGTTCTTCTTCAGTTATATTTTGATTAATGTTCTGTTGTTCACTTATTATTAAATATACATAGACTGAGAGAAAATGAGAGACGCATTTTTCTTATTCAATGTATACGTTGCCATTTCAAATATTAGTGGGCTTGGCAATTTTCTTGAATATGGTTTCTTGAATAGTGGAATAGCTTATATAATTTGTCAAATATATTTGTGATATATTGACTGTATCAGCGCTACGTTTTAATAAGGTTTGAAACAATAGCATTTTTGTAAATTTGGGCGTGAGGCACTGTCTAAAATCAAAACGGAAACAGTTACATCTTTGACACCCAGAGTCATAGGTGGCCCCTTGCCCAGAATAATAGAAGATCAAAAATGTTCATTTTATAAATATATGACATGAGCCACTTGGTCCTACTATGACAATATACAAGGGTGGTCGCTAGAAAAACAGAAAAGTTGTCAATCATCTATTATTTTTACAAAGAATAACTTTTACAAAGTTTTTCAGATACATATGTTATATTGCACTCATAGATGCAGAGCAGTGTCTTATTAACCAAGAAGTTCAAGCTTGTGTAGCATTTTGAAGGTTAATTCATGGGATATCGGGATCTATTCTGACCTTCAAAATTTCTGCTTTTCTCGCGACCACCCTGTAGGCCAGGGCTACTCAACTATTGTTACCGAAGATCCGCATACGAAACTTCAAAATTATTTGGGTCCGGAAATTATATTTCGGCATCCTTAAAAGCGCTCTACCTCGCCCGGCTAATGATTATTAGCTAAACAAAATTGCTTATTATGATGTTATAGTTCTTTTCATATATATTCAAAACTATAAAAATCATTTTATAAAAGGAAACTTCAAAAGTGGGGATAATGATCCAAAATAAAAAAATCAGATGCGGTCCAAATCAAGTACTCGAAAGGTCCGAATTCGGACCGCGATCCGCCAGTTGAGTAGCCCTGCTGTAGGCTATGTAATGAATAAACAAACAAATAAAATTTCAGGAAATTACTAAGTAGCTTTATGAGTGTTAAAAGGTCATCAAAGCCAGCTGTGCCAATATTTTTTACAAGAAAAATAGTGCAGTTATATCAGAACGGAAAAATGGATCAATAATGTAGCAAATTAGTTGAATACCAAAAGTATCCTCTTGAGAACTCTCAGAGTGGGCTGTGTCATTGATTCAGATGTTTATTCTTCGAATTTAATGATTTTGTCACAAGGGAGAGCTTCCATTAGTTTTCGTAATAAAACCTAGTTAAAGCCCAAAAAAAATTACCTGGAGATTGACATTTCACATAATTGCAATCATTTCTGTGCGGGAAAAGCCAGATATTTGCAAATAAACGGTTTTTTATTCACGGTTTCATTTTGAGTTTTGAACCTCTCGCCCAGTAACCAAGTTCATTATCTATACGTGGCCCACTCTGGAAAGTAATTGCCAGGTATAATGTATTCAGCATTGTAGGTATATTCAGATTTAGTCATCCCTGCTAATAATCTCAAATATTTTTCCGCAGTTGTCTACCTCATCACCACCTTATGAAACGGGCAGGAAGTTTCAGTCATGGGCATGAAAATACTCCATTATTAGGTGAAGAAGGAAGACTTCGTTCGCTAAGCGAAGTTGCGGAAACTCCAGAACAAGAAAAAGATTTTGAAGATCTGCCTGAATTGGAAGAAAGAATGAAGTCAATGTGAACTGGTTGCAAACAATTTTGTTGGAACACTGTTGGATTAATTGCAAATCATAGAATTCAGTATTGATTTGAATCTGAACTATTTTACAACAAATTGCAATATCTGCCAATTCTGAGTTTCATTCATTGATTTAGCTTATTTTCTGTTACTGGATCGTTACTGAATATTCGATTTGAAATGTAGCATTCTTTGTTATTCCCTACAAGGTTTTCTGAACATGGCAAATCAGGGAGGTCAATAACTAATGAATTCGAAATTGGTAGGATTTGATTAAGTAAATTCTTGACTTAAGAAATTTTCATCAGAAAATTTGCCATTTTAGAATCGCATGGTCGGGGGAAAATAGACTTCGTTCAACTTGTCAATTTTAAAAAAGGGAAAATCAGAAAAGAGTCTTCATGTCAACTTACGATTATATGCATACATTGTATACTAATGTTCATCGGCATAAAGGCAGGGTCAAAATGAATTTTTATGAATTTACAATGAAGTATGCCCATTGTATGTTGCACATAAAATATCTTAGAATATTTTTTGATAATTCATATTCGAAAGTATTGTTTCACACTCAGAAATATTTCATCATGATAATTTATTCCAATATTTTAATTGAAACCAGGTGCCATCCTATATTTCATTCATTCTATTGTATCGTTAATTCAGCAATCATCAATTCTGATATTGCTGTGAGGTTTTAGATTGTTGCTTTCTGTTCTCTTTATGATAATATCAATATTTTGTTGTAATTAATTTCCGCTTTGTCCAACAAGTTCGATTTTATTGACTTAAAAGCAGTGGTGAGCTGTAGCCAGAATGCACCGGAACAGCGTTCCGTTTGTTAGACATTTTATTGCATCTGCGTTCCTGTTGTCAAAAGAAAATTATGGTAAAAAACTTCTTATTTCTCTGGTAAACCTAGGTATCAATTAATATTTTGTTACATCATAATTCGTAATTCTTTTTACATCACATCACGTAAATAATTAGTACATCAGTAACGCGGGTGACCGTACATTTGAACCCACGTACATTTAAACCCATGTGTATATCCGCGGGTTCAATCTATATGCTGGTGCTAAAACCCATCGGTTAGGGTCAGTATGGGTTCAAATATCCGCAAAACAAAAAAATTTTCATAAGTGCATAGTATGCAGGTGCAATTGTCGTGGGTTCAAATGTACGGGAACCGTAGCGCGTAATAGATGTTTCCCCGACCTTTGACCCAATGGAAATTCATCCATACCTTTCTAATAATAACATTTGTATCGAATTGCTATGAATATTCTTGTAGTTTTACATAGACATAGTTCAGAAAATTTCTTCATATTTCATTGTAGTTCTTTGGCTCTATCTTAGATCAGACAAAACTTTCTGTAAACGTCCGCGTCGTGTTGTAAATATATTACATTTTTTGCAAATAATTGCGTTCCGGTTGTTACAATTTCTCCAGCTCATCACTGCTTTTAAGATATTCTCACATATACTTTAATCATTAAATTCTACTACATCATATTACTATAAATCAGCACGTTATCGTTTATCAATTTTTAAATTTAGCTCTTGTGTTGATTATGCTCCAATTATATATTTTAAGGTGTATGACTATTTTTTGTAACATTGTAAAATTTGATTCCATTTTTTATAATTTGTCTATTCCATTTCTTGTTTTAAATCTAAAAGTCCACGATTTAACTAAGTCAATTTAAATATTTTGACGCTATGGAATTGTGGTCCATTTGTTAATTGTTACAAGTGAATCCATCGGTTTGCAAAGTCACAAACTTGATAGAAATACAAGAGTTTTAAGACAAAGCACCAAATAAAAAAATTTCGGAACAAAACATATTTGAAAACATTCCTATAAATCGATGCTTCTTCAAGTTGTTATTCAATCATAGTTTGGAGCAATATTCACCACAATAAAGAATAATATGAATTTGAAATTTCTCAAGACAGCTTTTTCAAGTTTTGCCCTTTTTGGTTATCGATTTCAATGAGTTTCTTCTGCCTCATAGAGAGTATCGAATGATGCCTATCAATAGTATTTTTTGATAATAAATCTAATTATAAATAAAACATTTCAGCATTTGTAACGTTACCTTTAATTATGTCCCTTTTATCTACTGTATACTAATGTTCCACTTCCAATGTTCAAATCGATTGGTAATATAGTATTCACTGGTTTTTGTCTTATTTATATATTCTAGTGTTTAATTGATTTAGCAAATATTTTATGTGTAATTGCTTTTTTGTCCCGTCTGATTTGAATAAAATTTTAGAGTGTCGTGGGTCTTGGTCATTGGAAGGGCAGCACATTTTCTGTTACAGTATTTTATTTTTCAAATTTTGTATTTTTGTGACGATTTCATTCCTAATTATCAAATTGTTTTATTTGTCCATGCCATTGTGATGTTGCCCATTTGGTACTATTTTGGGCGCTTCCGTAGTATGTGAACCAAGATGGCGGACACCTCAACAGTATGTCTACCAGGTTAGGGTTAGGCCTTATTATTAGTCCGATTTTCCTCATTTTAGTTATATTAAGAGTTCGGGGTCTAGTCAAGTGACTCCCATGTAGTATTTGTACCTGAAATCATGGCCTAACCCTAACCTGATACACATACTAGGTTCTGGTGTCCGCCAGCTTGGTTCACACACTACGATAGTACCCTCTTATGCCTCATGTCTTGTACCTCGTTTACAGTTATGGCAACCCTAAAGTTCCGTCCTCCGTGTTTGTCTTTTGTATAGACGCTTTTTGTACCATGAAGAAGTTCAAAATAAATTAAATTTGGAATGAGAACTTGTAAACAGTCATTTCACACTCTATTGAATTAAATTAATTGTATCTTTTAAATGAGTGTATCACTTAATTTTAACTGCAATTCAGTATTTTCTGTGCAATCAGGAGGACCATATCTCTCAACATTTTACTGACTCATAACTTCTAAAAGTTATGCAATAATCATATTCGGTGCTATTTGTGATTTAACGTCAACATTTTTGTTAATTTTTAGCAAAGTGGTGTTAAGTTCGACCAGAACAATAACGTATATTCTCGCTGTTGCAGTTTTTAATTTTGTTGAATGCAATATTTCCACTATCTTTTTTTTCTAAAGCTTCTTGATGATGAATAGTATAATATTTAATTTAATTTTCTCGAGTATAATATTTCTCATTTTAAATTCAAAGATTGCTCGGATGCAAAGATTTCTTGGCAATTTAATTCCTAGACTAGAGCCATACAACTGTTTATCTCAATGCGTCAAATTTAGGTATACTGAGGGCTGGACCACCAAGCAACTTGTTAGTTTTTCACAACTCAAAGCTGACTTTGCAAATGCTTTAATGTGGTCCTGCACAAAGTTACTATTTGAGTAACATGCTTGCTCAATGTGGTATGTGCTTTAAAGCAATCTTAAAAACGATGATGGTGCCATAATAAGAAAAAGCATTAAAAAATAATGAATACGAAGGCTGTTGCAGGCCATGTAATTGTGTTCCGCGGAGCATGTCTCTGTTCTAGATGGAAGGCTTTTATTGCAGGATCGTCCGTTTCGTAGAGTTTTCTCTCACGTACCTATTTCCATGGCCGAGATAACTTGAATCAATTCAAGTCTTGTCTGCCAATTTATCAGTTTTCTGACAACTCTGTTGCGGATATACCCGATATATATAGCTCTTACTGGTGTCAGTGCTAAACTTGTGGGTTCACAACACTTTTACTTCTGTTAATTCCTCATTGATGCAATTCAAAGTTCATTTACTCATTACTTCTACGTTAGTTCCATAATTTAACCTAATAACCCCATCTTTATTTGTCATTTTATGGTTTTTCTCTTTTGGTTTATTAGTTTATCGAGCACTTTAAAAATTGGCTTCATTGTCATTTCTAACTAGCTCTGTCTGTTCTTGGAAGTTCCATCTTATCTATATAAATAAATAATAATTATTTTGTAATTGGGACTGTTGTGAGTTGATATGATTGAGGGGGCCGCACTACTTTTGGCTTGAATACCATGTGTGTGTACACAGCTTATTTGAAATATATTGTTTGTAGGGAAATTGGATTTGATGAAATCCTTTGGGTATATTATTCATGATATAATGAAGTTCATGCAGTTAATACATCATGCTAAACCTCTCAATTACCTTGCATGGGTTCCGATATGAGTGGGCATAATTACGCACCACAGGAGGGTGGTTCACACACGGTTTCCTCCGCCATCAAGTCAGTCTTCGCAAGTTTGCTCTACCATGGCATAAATAAAATCCCTCTTGAGATGATTGGCAAATTGTTTGGTGCTCCCGTTATATGTGTACCAGGTTAGTGTCAGTCCATATTTTTATTTCGATTCTCCTTATTTTAGTTCTATTACGAGTTCGGAACAGTCTGTGTTAGCCAAGTGAATATACCCCCCGCCCATAGGTTTCAGTCCCTTTACACAACTTGATGTAAAGTAGGCAAACAAAATTAGTTACTTCCATAGTGCCAATTGTTCTAAGCTCTAACTACAGCACACTAGTTTACCCTGCCATGATGATACAAGCTCCGATCTCGCAAGGATGATAAACACAGAAAACTGTTTCGCAGGCAGTTTCCAGGTATTATTCGATCCAATTCTATCCCTTCCCCCTATATACCTTAAGTTGAAACAATTCGCACCCAAGCTCATCGAAATGTCGGTTCTGCAACCAAGAAAGAGGTTGTTCATTGAGCTGCCTTTCAGTTTTCCATTTCACAGCATAAATATCAAAAATTCTATCATAAGACACACACCATATAGAGCAAAAGAAACACGATTTGTACATTTTTTATATATTTACTCCGAATTTGAGTACAACTCAGGGCTCTGAGGCAAAAGACCGATGTTAAAAACCTGACAGAATGTTGAGTCACCCCATTAATTTTTCACTCTGCAGAGCACATATGAAAAATCCCAACAAAATACACACCAGAGATGGCACAAATATAAATTTGAACAATTTTTGATATTTGTTTCACAAATTTTAAATAGAAATCACGGCTGTGATATGTGGAGCAAGCACAAGATTGGGGAAAAATTTCAAAGAAAAATAGGTGATTGATTATAACCTCTTGTAAGACGATGTTTTACAATGTAATTACAGTAGTTCCACAAATGATAGATGATATATTCCATTGATACCATACAATTTTGTAAGATATAATTATCAACTAAGAACTGGTAGATTGGGCAATGAACTCAAATTGAAAAAACGTGATATTAATTTTGAAGTCAATGCTCAGCAAGAAAAGTAGTATTACAAGAAAACAAATTCCCAAAGTTCTAAACCCAAGTTAATTAACTTAATAATTCTGACATAAATCATGATCTTGTCCCAAACCAAAAAATAATTTTGGCTATAGCCAAAGTATAAACTATAATTGCTTTACCAGAATTACCAAATTATTTACAAGTTAAAGCACAGGTGTCTATATAGATGCAAATAATAAAGTATTGCTTTTCAGTTTTCACTAATTGCATTTACTTTCAATACAGCATGTCATTGAACTGCCCCATCCCAGAGTCCTGAATATATTGAGCATTGGATTGAAGCTAAAACCGAGATTTCAAAACTATCTCGTAAAATTCTTTCCACCTTTCCTCCCTGTAGGTTTGAAAATTTTGGATTTATCACCAAATTTTTTATTTCCTTGGTAACCAAATCCTGGTTTGCGTCCCCTTCCAGCTGTCTGCCGTTTGCCGTGCACATCCAAATCAACATATGGTGGCACTTTGAACCCAAATGACGTCGCGACCTTCACAAGATCAAGTTTTTGAACATCGTAAATGTTTTTCAAACTATGAGATGCGTATGCTCGAATGTAGGACTTGTATGCCTCTTGTGACGACTTATGTAGAAAGTAATTTTTTCTATCAATCTTTCAAGTTGTGGTTGAATGTTGGCAATTTTTGACCAAGAAAATTCAAATTCGCTCAAAGGTACTCTGGCTTGTCGTAAATATCTTAAAAACCCGAGTTCGTCAGGAAGCAAGGTCAAAAGGGCATGACCTTTGCCATTTACTCCCCGCGCTGTACGTCCAACCCTGTGTATGTACTCTTTGGGGTCATCCGGTGGATCGTATTGTACGATCCAATCGACTTCTGGAATGTCAAGTCCTCGTGCAGCCACGTCAGTACAAAGCAGTGTTCCCTTTTCTTCGTTACAGAATTGAAAGAACGTGGTTGTTCGTTTTGTCTGTTTTTGACGTCCGTGGATTGCCAAACAAGGCAGATCAATATAATTCAATAACTCAAAGTGATACTTCACACTCATGCATGATGAAAAAAACACCATTATCTTTTTATCTCTGTTTCTTTTGAGAAACGTAAACAAAACCAAAAATCTTTTCTCTGATGGGCAAACGACATAGCCCTGTTCCAATCCCTCAACTGTAGCCTGTTCTTTATTGTCATCCACTCCAACATAAAGCGGCATCTTCTTTAATGAAATTCTAGCAAGGTCTTCAATTCTTTTCGTTTGAGTTGCAGAAAAAAGCATAGTTTGTCGTCGTTTTGGCAGAATTCTAACTATTTGTTTCATTTCTTCTTCGAAACCGACCTCCAAAATACGGTCAGCTTCATCAATGACTAAACATTGCAGATTACGAAACATAAAATCACTCGTATTTTGTAAGTGATCGAGCAATCTCCCGGGTGTAGCTACCAGAATATTTACACCATTTCCCAATTTTTTAGCCTCCGACGCCCGGTTACTGCCCCCCATGATCAACCCATAAGTATGATAATGGTGTTTCATTGTATCTTGCATGACGCCGTAAATCTGCATCGCTAATTCTCTTGTGGGTGATATAATGATGACTCCGGTTCCATTTCTAGGCATAAATTTCAGTTTATTTATAAGTTCTATTGCTGGGATTAAAAATGCCAGCGTTTTTCCACTCCCAGTTTTAGCTGCGGCAAGCAAATCTCGGCCTTCTAAAAGAGGGGGAATTGATTTATGTTGAATTTCGGTCATATGAGTGAATCCCATTTCAGAAATGCTTTTTAATGTGGCATCACTAACTCCCAGTTTTGCCAAGGACGCAAATGATGAGTCCAGAGCAGTGTTTTTCAAAACCTTTACTTTCATCTCGCTGTCCGGTAAAGTCTCGACAGCAAGTTTCGTTGAGGCATTCGAATCGACAACTGGAGACTCTCCCTGATCTGCTGCTTCGCCAATTTCAGTAGAATTCTCATCTTTTTCAGATTCTGGCTCCCCGCCAATAGCAATGTTTTTACCACTTTCATTTGAAGGTACTTCAGTAGATTCGGTTTCAATCTTATTCAAATTAGATTTCTTAGTTTTCTTAGAGTTATTGTTAGAATCCTTCTGTTTTCTCTTTTTCCCTGACTTTGATATTGTATTTTCAATTTTCTTTGTGGAAGAGTCAGAAACACTTTCCTTATTAACAGAACCTGCAAGCTCTGGTTCTTCTAAATGAACATCCTTTCCATGTAGATTTGAATATTCAGTCTCTGAAGGTTTTGTAGATTCGGTCGCTTGACCTTTTCCTTCTGCTTCGAGAAGCAGTTGACGCTTTTGAAGTAAAGCCAATTTTCTTTGTTTCTGTTTTGCTAGCTTTCTTCGAATTTTTTTCATATGATTATCCATTATTATTATTTATTGAAGATAGCTACAATAACAAGACACAATTTCATATAAGAGTTTGATTGTTACAAATTTTCAACAATTTAATTCCATCATGAAGAATGAATGAAGAAATGGGTCTACGTTAAACTTGTACTCATTAGGAATCTAGCAGAGATGTCAAAAAAGAATTGAATATTCGAAACATGAGAAATTAGAATTAATAAATAAAGTAAATTAATGATTATTAAAGCTTCATTCAAAATTTGTAATTTGGGCATTTAATAATATCAGTTGCTCAGGACCAACAATAGACTTCACTCAACTCTTAGAAGAGCAGAATATAAATTTTTTTTGCATTTCAAATTCATTTTGTATAAATTTACAGTGATTTGTGGAAATTTATCTCTCGCATATGAACTAATTCAGATTGAATTCAATATTTCAAATTCAAAAAAATGAATTTAAAAGTGGAAAATATCAAGTGTAGTCAAAATGGGAAATTTGCAAAATTTACGAGGTATTCACTTAACTTGATGACACTAATAAAGACTCAAAATACAAATTGTTTCATTGCTTCTCTAGTTCAGTAGTTTCACTTTTCCTAAAGTATTTTCAGACTGTCACATATCAAAATGACAATGAATTGGCTATTAGATTTATTTAGACCATCTCTTGGTGTGGAATTCAGATAACTACTTAAAATAGTTTCAATTCAAAATATGTTTCTGAACACTGGTAAAACAATCATTACTTGAAGAAACAACTATTTTCCCGTATAAATCAAGATCTGTTGAACTGTTAATAATAAGGTATGAAAATGATAACTGTCTCTAAACTCATGATACAAATAAACATTGGTGAAATAACAAAACATTCTTAGTCAAATTAAACAAATTTGTAGATGCTAAGAATAAATGTCAATATCGGTCTTTTAATTTAGAAGTGATCAATTGTCATTTGCAAACAATAATCCAATCCAATACCCTAAGGCCCAAGCAAATACAAAACATGAACAGATTTCATTATTAGGCTACTGTATAAAGTAGAAAAGAATTTTCATTATAACTGTGGTGGAATATGAGAATGGAAATAGAATCTGCATATCATTTACGTATTTAACAACAGATCCCACCATACCTGTGCTGTTAACAGGCAAGAGAACTTGACCATATGGTTGGAGTGTATAAAATATTTCAAATAATTCAATCGAATTACAGGATGAATATGTAAAATCGAAACTCTTATTATATTTGTTGAGGATACCATATTTTACAGACCATAAATTGCGCTTCAAATAGGCCTCTCTTTTTATCAAAAATTGATCATGCACCTTATACGCCGACACGCCTAAGCCTGTAAGCCCTAATAAATAGAACAGATAGTGCTCAAAACCAGTAACAGTATGTCTGTATGTATAGATAAAAACCCAATCTATGCAATTTATTGAAAGAGCGCGATATAACCCAGTTCGTAAAATATGATATATGACTCAATACGTTATAATTCATCAATTTTGTGGTTCTATATATGGCTGAAAATTTCTAAAATTATGAAACTACTAAAATGATTATACACACATCTATGAAATGTTTAAAAAAATCATGAGAGCGGCAATTCATTCAATGGTCCCTTATCAAATGTTTCTCGAATGAAAAAACAATAAAACAAAATTACAATTTAAACGTATAAATTCATGAACAAATATTTGAATGTGTGAATATGTGTTGACATTGGGAATTGAAGATTTATCAGAAACTGCTTGCATAACTAATGTTCGAATGAAAGGCATGTAAAAAGGTTATGAAAACAGTCTGACAGTGGAACTTCGAACAAAGTTTGTAGATCCATTATCCAGAATTGCTTACAACATTTACACAATCAAACAGCAAAACAGACTGCTGTACTGACACTAGGGTATATCTGTATACAGGTATATAGTCTACAGCTACAATTAGTCTAGATCTATGTTAGAAATAGCTTAGCATATGGTTATTATAATCAGTTAGGCTACAAGTGGCGACGTTGAAGTGTTACTGATAACAGAATGATGCAGTAAAGCAGTCATAATTTCATAAAGCAGACTACCTAGAACCAATTTCTGCATTTTGATCAGACAGTCAGAAGCTCATTTAATACTTATGGCTTTCTGCACCGCCTCTGCCAAAACCACCAGGTCCAAATAAAGCGCTGTAACATGGATTGTTACAATAGGGCTTCCCATCACGCTCGGAATGTCCACCGGGAGATAGGGTCTTGCCGCATTTTCCACATTTCAAACATGGTCGGTGCCAATCCTTTCCAAGGGACGTCACCTTCTCTGCGAAATACACCTCCTTGTTGCATTTGGGACACTTCGGCATCTTCAAAATATTTAGTAAAAAGGAACAGATATCAAGAAAACAATCCTAAAATTAGTGCTGTAGTGACAGTACCGTTACCGATAATATGGTAAGGACTAACGAATTTAATATTTTTGCCCTCCCGTGAATCCAAAACCCACGTGTTCTCATTTAAAACTAGTCACCAATATAGAAAATTTTCTATCCGCGAGATGTCGCCTGGTGCAAGTTCAAAAATTTACTAAAGTTGCCAGATTTTCAATGAGTAATTAATAATAAATGCGATTTAGTTGAAAAATTTATATCTATCAACATGCGTCTTAAAAAAATTTACGCAATACGGAGTCTAGCAATTTTTTGAAGAATTATATCGAATATCATATGAACATGTGCTGGTCATCATGGTAACAGAAAAATGTTGGTAAATAAGACCAATGACATTTAACAACATGATGCGCAACTCCGGCATTTTTGTCCGAAGATCGTATTCGATAGCACGCTCCAATGCACATACTTGACGAGACGAAAACAAGCGGATGTGTGCCGTATTCAAGGCGTAGCACGAATGGTGTTCGTGCCTGCTTCGACAGTTGTTGTCGATTTTAATGATATTTTGGAAAGTTAGGGTAAAAAGAAATCGGAAAAAGGTAAGGTAAATACTATTGTGGTATATCACACCCGGGCATCGCACTGTTAAGTACATGTGGGAAAGCCAGCCTTTGTCAAATACTACGAAGTTATTAATTCAGTACGGTACGTAGTTGCCCATTTGCCAAATTACATATTTACTTACCCCTTATGCCTGGTTTCAAAAAGTTCATGCACCTCCAGTTAGATTTTTTTAATCAGTGAGGATATTTACTCATTGTTGATTGCTGCTCATTGTAACATACTATTGCGCATTCACTTATATTTGCGTATTGAATCAAAGTGTTAACAAGTTCACCTAACATTTCACTCATACCGGTCTATCTTGTATAGTCTGATCTCTCAAGTATTTGGAGCCGCGAATGCTTGTAATTTTCTGACTAAACCCTTTTAATAGTTGGTTTATATACCAAATTCAGTAAAATATGAGATATTGGATTTATTAGCTTTTCCATTCTAAATCATATAGACTGCTTTATTTATTCTTAACGAAAATTAATAAATCTCCTCTCTTTCTTCAGATGTGAAAGTTGTGGACAAACCTGTCTAAGCATTGTGAGACTCCTGCAGCACAAGAGGCAACAGCAGAAATAGTAAGTATATCAATCAAGAAATTAAGCCGACATAAAGCAAAACTTTCAACTATTCGTCTAATCTTAATTTCCTATTATTTATTCACAGAACAACTATAGCAGAAGGGGAGATATCAGAAGTCTGGCGACATATCAGTGACAGTGTGATTCCAAGAAATATAATTAGAGTACTCCATAAATGTTTGCAATAGAAAAACAACCTATGGAGGCATGCAAAGACATTTGACCCTCCGGTAGAGTTGTGTATGGTCCCCACATCCTGCAGGGCTTGAGGAAAAGAACTAAAAATTCTAAAGCGTAAGATTGCATAAGCGGTCTTATTTGTAAAAAGGCACAAAACACGCCAGACATACTTAAAACAGCTTTGAAAAATGAGGATTACGGGTAACGCACTGCACCTGTGTTATATTTGGTTCATCAACTTTTGGTAGTACTATAGAAGAAATTACGGAAGGGGTATAATCATCATTCATGATAAAATACTATCATATATTTTTTGGACAACTTCAATCTAGACCAGGGATCTCAAACTCGCGGCCCCAGAAAACTTCCAGTGCGGCCCTCGAACGCTTAACAATAATTGTAATAGTATTTTGGAAGTTTTTTTTTTATCTAAATGTAATAGATTTTTCAAACCTTTTAAAGTGAGATTGATTATCCACACAGAAAACAGTTTACTGAAAGTAGTTTTGGAATATTAATTTTTTTTTTGTCCACATTTTGACCCAATTAAGAATACACATCAAGCTAGCAAAAGAATACTTGAATAAAACACTTGAGTGATTAAATTAAACGCAAAGTACATGAAGAAGGTGGCATTTTCGAAGAAAATGGGAGTTGCAATATTTCTGCTTTCCACAAAATTTTGAAGCACATTGTTTAATTTGTCATATTTCCATCAATACAATGAAAAAACACAATAAGCTCAGAGGTCAATATGACAAATTCGAAGACCAACTTCTAACAGAAAATTTCCATGTGTTTGTATATTAATATAATTATACAACGACTTGGTTACTAAAAATCAATATCAATAATAATTCAAGCAATCCTATGCCACGCAATGTGGTGCGAAATGTCTTGTCGAAAAAATCTGTCATTTGTTTTTTTACTGATCTATACATGAAATGATAAAAGTAACTTTTTTGCATTACTGGAATTAATTAAACATTCGCAAAGATCCAGATTAACCCATGATTATGTGGCCTCGTTAGTTAGAGTTGGTACTATAAAATCATTTCAGCCTGGCCTTAGTATGCTGGTGACACACAAAAAAAGATGCCAAACGTCAGGACAAATGTAATTTTTAAAACGTTGAGTTTATACTGTAGTATTTTTGTTAATTTTAAGTTCATATATTTAGATTAAGTTATTTCTAGTGTATGTATTATTCTTTCCTTATCCAAAGCTTGTTCAAAAATGATTTTGATGGTTGTACATAGAATTTTATGATTTTTTATAATAAATACAGTAACTTGCAAATGTTGCAATAATAGTGGAATGCAAATATTAATATGTAATTGTATTTGAAATTGAAGAAAATAATAAAACTTAATCCAACTGTTTAGTTGCATCACAATATATGTCACAAACTAAAACTATCTTAAAAATATCTTTCAAGTATATATACATTAACAAAAACTGTTAAAAACTTGCGGCCCTTTTTACAGTTTTCAAAATGCAATGCGGCTCTTGAAAACCCATGAGTTTGACACCACTGATCTATTCTAGACGATTCAAACATTGCTTTGGGAAATAATATCACTTCAATTAAATTGAAATAATCTCGCTATATTAAATACAAAATCGTTGCTATCATAAAGGTAAACCAATTCAGCCACTCGAAATATATTGGCCTTCACAAAGCAATGGAGGCAAAATTGAGAGTTCATGAGCTATGAACATTTGTTCTTTTCTTTGTCTTGAACTTTTCATACTCCACAGCCCCTATTAATTTTTTATAATTTTAATTACCATGTAATGGTCATACATATTTTTAACTTGTATTTTCTGTCATGATGTATTATCTCAATGTGCCAAACTATTTATTAGTGTGCATATTTTGCTTCCAGATGACATAAATGTATTGTCTTGTTTATTACATCAGCTTGGATGAATTGACAAGAAAAGGTGCCAGTAAATTAGGTAAAAATTTTTTTAACTCTTTGTTATAATCAGAATTCACAATCAATAGAAATTATAAACAGCCAACAATCAATGAGAATTATATGCGAAATCCCTCAGAATAAATTTGTCTAAAATCGGAGGAAGGCAAAAAATATAGGTAGTTTCCACTTTCCATCCACACAAGCATTTCAAGAAGACTTGCTCGAGCCAAACTAAATGAGCATCGTCAGGTGATCGGTAAGGCTGCAAGTTGAATTCAGCCGCCCTGCAACCTCCTGCATAGAAGATAATATTAATTAGTGGGCTATGAGCTAAATTCCTAAATTTAAACAAACCTATCTACGATGCATTATGTACCAGCAATGTTACCTACGATTAACTGAATATGTAATATGTCTAATAAATTCACCTACAAAAGCAAGTTCGATAGGTGCAAACTTTGTGTTATGGAATTGTATCACAGCACAGTTTTGTATGACACCCTCTTTAAATGAAATTTCAATGATTAAGCGCAAACATTAAAATTACTAACTTTGAACTTTGTCATTATCTGCAAAATGTTCCACACAAATCTTTCCGCTATCGCGTTTGTAATCTTCTCTGATAAAAAAAAAGCGTCTATGATGTCCAGAATTGCTCTTTACAGCTTGCCCGCCATTCCAGCTTTCCAAGTGAGCAAAACTTCTTAGATATAGAGATTATTTTGTTTCGTTACAGGCGCAAAAATGCAGGTACTACACGTAAAAAAGACGCCGAGTAGCAAAAGCGAGCGGAAAACGGACGCGAAAGGCGACGAGAAATATGTGCATTGGAGCGTATCATGAAATACAATCTTTCGCCTGTAGTCTTATGGAGTGACGTCAGAGTTGCCTATCATGTTGTTTAATGTCATTGATAAGACTCATGAAATATTTGAAATAAAACATAGCCTTCTAGAGAAATATTCAGGTACAATAGTGATGAATGATGAATACATGAACTGCGTAGAAACACTATATTTTTTAACAATTTTAATCGCTAAAATCTTTGATTGAACAAGCAAAAATCTCGATTGAACCGGGTTTTTATTCAGTCAGGAGTTATAATTTAACCTCTCACTTCACATCTCTCAATTTTACTTCAGTTCCAAGATCTGGTAAGGATTATATGAATACCTAAAGTTACACAATTTCGCTTTTTTTAACATAATGTTTTGCAAACGAAGATGTGTGAAGATGGATGTACGATAGCCAGAGAAATCAACAAGCTAAAACATTTTGACGTAGGCTATCTTCTGGGAAGGACGCTTAGGAACGTTAACAATTAACCATGGTACAACGATATATTATAATATAGGCTATAATTTAAACTTACCTTTTGCTTTACTGCTTCCAATGGGTAAAATGAAGTCCACTTCTCTAGGCTAAAATATTTCGATTAAAACGTA